GCACCATTGATTTATACACCATCAGCTATGTATCGACGGTAAGCTGGTGATTGTTCCGCACTCGGTACTCAAGCTTCCCGAATGTCGCCGCTGCCTTCGATACGCGGATACAAAGCTCACCGCGTGTTTGCTGGGCAGCGAAACGATACTCCCAAGGTAGCAGAACCGGGTGGTTTCAAATACTTCGTCAGCAATGCTGATTTGCGGCAACATCGCAGACTGCACCTCCGGTGAAGACTGAAAAAGGCAGACAATTTGGTGAGCCCGAATTTGGCCGATGTCGAAGCCAGAGCACTAGTCATGTGCTGCAACTCATCCGCGCTGTGCAAACAACGCACAGTCGTCAGTGAATAGTAACATACGGATAGTTGTCTCACACATTAGGGTTCTTGCACCGAAACGATGGATGTTCAGCAACCCAGCATCAATACGGTGCTCCACACGAACACCGTAAGCACAAGTCGCATCAAACGCACAAGACATGGTACGAAGATAAATATTAAACAGAACAGGAGCTAAAACACTGTCTTGCTTCACACCAGAGACAACTGCAAAGTCATCCGAGGTCTCCACTCAGCTGCACGCTCGCCCGCCCACCACTGTGCATTCGAGTAAATTTACAAAATTATTCGGACAGCCAAACGTACCTAACACCAGGCACAATGTCTAACGGTTCACGGTATCAAATGCTATGGTGAAATCAACAAAGTTAGTACAACGGCTGGTGTTGCTCTCTGCACTTCTGCAAGTGACGAGCCGCAAACATCATATCTATAGTGCTGCGACCCGAACGGAATCCCCATTGCTTTTCTGCAACGTTCGGTTCCACAATCTGACTGACGAGGCGGTTGAACAGAATTTTGGCTATCACCTTGCCAACACAACACAGCAAGTTTATGCTACGATAATTCGTGCAACATTGATTGCTTCCTTTGTCACTGTACAGTGGTAGCACAAAGACATCCTTCAGCTCAGGAGGCACTTCTTCCTCAATTCACACGCGTTGCACCAAGTGGTGCAGCACATTCACCAAGGCGGATTCACCGTGTTTCAATACTTCAGCCGAGATCTCGTCGGCACTAGCGCATTTGTCGTTTCACAGCTGAGCAAGTGCTCTCTGCGTACCATCCAGAGGCGGTGTGTCGGTAAGATACGTCTTCTCGTGCTGTTGCAGCCCGTGCAACACAGACCAGTCGATCTCTGAACAGTTGTTCAAGAGAAAGTCAAAGTGTTTTCGCCAGATTTGCATTATGTCTGCAGTCTACGTGCAGGCAGCGCCTGGATTACCATCGAGCAGCGTCCTCAGTGGCTCCAACCTCTATCCATACACCCTTCAAGGAGTGCAAGAATTCCTTATGTTGGCAGCGTTCGGCGTAGCATTCCATCTGCTTTGCCTTCTCCGTCCACCATGAATTGTTAACGCGACGGAGCTCTCGGGTTAGTCGCCGTCGAATTTTGCGAAACTGACTCTTCTTACCCAAGTCACTAAGGTCTGTCAAATGTGCAGCAGATGCTACAAGATATGGCTGGCGGCATCCGGTTACGCATTTGCATGTCACTGTGGCTTCCATACGACAACCACAGAACGCCTGCGCCTACGGAGGGACCATGGATGGCTTGCGCTGTACCACTCACAGTTCCATCCACACAACCTATATCCTGCGTAAGCCCGAAAGGAATAAGATCGGAGCCGGTCCACACTCCTTTACAGGCATACACAAGCATGCTGCATTTGGGGAATAAAGCGCACACAAGGCGGTGGCTGGACCGTAGTTCGCTCCACCTAGGATGGAACCACTTATTCAAGCCTAGCACGGCTACAGGGGCCGTGCACCCCGTCCCCCAGCAACGATCAATTGTCTCCGGAAACCAGTAATCGAGGTGGAGGGTGTTACACAAGGAGGCATCTTGTCAACAAACATATCAAGCGCAGCCACACCGGGGATGTCAAACAGCCAATCATGACAACATCAAATAATAATTATCGAATAAAGCATCCAGATAAACGGACTTGACTATTCGCTAAATGAGCATGTGAAATAATCTGATCCTCAACAAATCAAAACAGCAAAGATATATTTAAAAAATATACCATAAACGCGAAAATGTTGATAAATGTAACCACAATCTGCTTTGCATCATCGAAGTGCAGAGCGTTCCTCCAAGATTGGCCCGGACCACCTCCTTCGCTGACCCTTGGTGGGGATCAGCTAGAAGTCGTTCAAAAATTCAACTACCTGGAAAGTTGTATCAGCGCCCGTGGAACTGAAGATAAAATGACGAACCGTATAGCAAAAGCTCGAGGTGCTTTTGCTAATCTGAGTCACTTACGACGCCGGCGCGACATCACTCTCGCCCTGAAGGGTAGAGTGTACAATGCAGCGGTATGTTCGACCCTACTGTACGGTTGTGAAACCTGGTCCCTTAGATCAGCGGACCTAAAGAGGTTAGATACGTTCGACCACCGGTGACTTCGCAATTTGGCTCACATCTGGTGGGAAAACCGCGTGAGCAACGAGCGTTTTCGACGCCTTGTTTACGGCACAGGAAAAGGAACTGAACCGCTCAGCACCGTTATTTCACGCACCAGGCTCCGATGGCTCGGCCACGTGTTACGCATGCCAGCCCACCGACTCCCGCGACATGCGTGGTTTGCTCACCGGGGGGTGTGGATGGAAGAAGAGGAGAGGTGGCCAAGCGATGACTTGGTCTAGAGGAATGAAGGCCCTCACTTCGAAGCTTGCCTCAGTTTGAGCGTCTCGACTCCCTGGTTGGGGTCCGAAAGACGATGAACACGTTTGGCTGGACAGACTTGCTGATATGGCTAGGAGCCGACCTCAGTGGCGTTCGTGCTGTGAGTTTCTTTGTCCCTCCCCATCCCTTTTAGCTCCCCTCTAACCACAATCTCATTATTTAGCATTTTATAATTTTGCATAGTAAATTATTAGTATTTTTATTTCTGGTGCATAGTAGCCGGCAGGTAGCTTACCGGAACGACGCCCATCCATTACCGGTAGCTCAGTTGACTTGCACCTGTTGCATTTTATTCCTTTTTTCCTTGTATGTATTGCGGCACTGTAGCTGAGGTGTTTCCCACCTCTAGCTAACGTGTATAATGTGTGTAAGTAAAAATAAGCTGGCTCAGATAAACATGTAAATGTCTAAAGTAAATGACTGAAGTAAGCATTAACAAAATATAGCAAACCAATCGCCTGAAATAAAGAAACTCCGCACGTAAGCACGCCGTTAGTAAATCGAATACAGTGTACCTCATATATATATATATATATATATATATATATATGTATATATGTATGTATGTATATATATATATATATATATATATATATATTCAACGTGTGGTGGGTAGTGTCGGCTCCCAGTGATACGAACCCTCAAAAACTGCCAACTCAATACAGTTCAGCCCATTCATATTTCCACAAGTTATAAGACATCTCCAAGCGACCTGACAGCGACATACAGACATACCGCTCTTCCATTTGGATTAAAAATGTTACCAGTTGACTGGAAAGCAGAATCTCGATATGACAAGTTTGGGTCAGATATGATGAATACGAATGCAGCGATGAATAACTTAATGACAAGTGGTATTTTCCTGGAAAGAATTTGAGACAAAATAATGGTGTAGGAGCAGATAAAAGCGCTATAATTTCTCACTAACGCTGAGAAACCGATCAATAAAGTCGACAGGTTCATATAGACAGTTGCTTCTCTCCAGTGGTCGGGTTAGTGAAGGGGCATAGCTCGTGTGAGCAGGATTAGTGTGAAATTGTGTTCTAACTTGCAATAGAGGTAACTACACAATAATTATCAAAGCTAATTGATGTTATGCACTGAAGATAAAAATGGCGATAATTGTTGGTGTGTGCGACCAAAAGTTTATAATCGGTGAGTTAATCAAATTCTACCGGTGACCTGGATAATATAAGGGGACCTATAAAGTAAGGAAAAAGCATGAGCAATGCGTCGGTACGCGGCGAAGACGCTTCGCTGCCGCGCAACCACCACTAGTAGCACGTGGGCTAAGGATACTGCGAGCGTAGCCCTGCCCCACGCAAGCTCGAATTGCAGCCGTCAGAGTACAAGACAAGATCGTTACATTTAGGCTACGGGCCCATAAAGCAGTTGCTCAGTTAAGTAGTCAATAATGATTAGGTTCGTGAAAAAAACAATACGGTGAAGTGGTCAGAAAACTTGGGACATAATAATGAGATTAGACAAGTAACTGCTAGGACACAGTGTGCTAAAGATGTTATGTTTGTTAGAAGCTGGCAAAAATAAAAGGTTGCTGACATGCAGGCGTCATAAGAACGTGATAGTAAAAAAAGCATGAACATCATGTTAGAACCATCTACAGGCGCTTGTTGCCAAGCGTCCACGCAAGAAGGGGTACTGCGAAGTCATCGGCACTCATGTACATTCGAATCAGTGACTCGTGAATTGCAAGGTAAATAGTTGAACCAACCCGCCACCGTTGCTAAAGCGGATATGAAGAGTTAAGAGATACAGGTTCAGCGCAACACTTCTAAAATGTATAGTGATATAAGTAATTACACGTGTTGCGTATATACTGAAAAGCGACTAGAATAATAATGTGTTAGTCGTACGCCGTAAAGGCCCTTCGTTGCCGCACGACCACCAATAGTCGCGCACGGGCCGCATACCGCGTGGACGCCCACTTCTACACAGATTCGAACCGGGGACCTTATGGTTGCAAACCAGGTGTGCAGACCACTCGGTCACCGGCCGACAAATAAAGAATAAAGTAAGCCCCAAACAAAGAATTAAACAACGTGCACAAGTAACGTAGATGCTTAACGATCACAAGGTGGAGCAATGGCTGTCAGCTAAACTACAGTTCACCAGTGACAAGAAAATCGACAACAAACGAATACGGAACCAAATGAGACATTAGTGTAGAAAAATACTGTTCAAACGGTCACGCTCTCATAAAGACTAGAATAACAGGAGATACTCACCTGCATAGAGCGATAGGGTAGGAAATGAAGTGAGAAGTGGGACTAAAGAGGTCGACACTCCACAAGCAATAAGCATCAACAAGTATAATAGCAATGGATTGATCCACTCGCGATCGGCAAGAAAACCCACGGCAATTTCACCAACCATATTTGCACCACCGAGTACGGAGAATAGGAGAGCCGCTTGTGTTTCTGAGAGACCGAGGTCCAGGGCGTATACTCCCATGAAGAAGTATGTTACATTTAACCAAAAATATAGCAACACGTTCGAGAGAAGAAACATATCGAAAGACGCTCGACGGAACAAACGGAAATCACACATGCTTCTACACACTTGTCGCATGCTCACCTCAGGAACAAGCGTCCCGCGTGTAGTCAGGCGATTGAGGCATGAATACAGACAGCCGTCTTCATAAGACTCATCCTCATGATCTGAATCTTCGTGTTTCATCCAAAGACAACAAGTAAATGTGATGCAACAGCTGTCGGAAGAGGAAGTGCTAGAACCATCGCTGCGTCGGATTCCGTGAATTTGAGTGAGATCGGGTAGGCTCAACGCTCTGCACAAGCTGGCCCGAGTAAGGCCAAAAGCCTTTAAAAGTGAACCGTGGTAAAAGATATCCACGCGGTCAGAAGGTTAACCATCCGATTTATCGAACAAAGGTAAGTTCATTTTGTAGTTTCTAAGCGGGACCTTGTGATGGCTATCAACGCGACCACAACGTCACAGTCACGCCTAAATTTGTTGGTGCACTGGTTAACAACAGCGTTTCGGTTGAACGTGTCTGCATCATCGACTTGTGGACAGGAAGTTTTTCCCACAGTTTCGGCAACAGTATGGATACGAGACGGTACGGAAGGCAAAGGATGCAAGGGGTCACCGTGGGCAGAAGGATAAATAGCCAACTCATCACGCTTACTTCTGTTGTTGGTTATTCCATACAAAAAGCGAAGTGAGTTTCTGCGGGCAAAAGAAACAATTCCTTTGCTTTGCCACAGATCAGGATAGCGAACATCAACATTGGAATGACACAAGTGATTGCACAGCGTGTTAAGAGAATTCATGGCTGCTTTGTGCTGAGCTGAGTGGGAGTCATGTAAGTTGGATGCTGAACAATTTCGGTGGAAAAAGCCTGGAATTTTTTAACATTGGCGGTTTCGACGGATACATCACTAAACAGTCGTCAGGGGTTTGACTGCACTCGCAGGAACGGATTTCGCGTCAGAGAAATGATTATGCAGCACTGTCTTTTGTGGAGAGCCCTGACTTTGAGTAGCAGCGAGGGCCAAAGTAGACCAAGTGTACAATTTGCTAGTAGCATCGCGAGCTTCGATCACCTGAATGCAATGAGTAGAGAAGCAACCAACATTTTGGCTTGTATCGTGCATTCGTTGGTTGCCTTCAAATCGATACTCAGTTGGCATTCGTACGACACCGTGGGTGCGCCCGAAGCACTTTCTAGGAGCCAACAATCGATCACGTAACAACTTGATGCGCCCAAGAACGTCACGACCCAGGTAATCTTCGCTTTTGACTATGGTTGGCATGCCAGATTCTTTAGCGAAGTGCTCCAACCACGCTAGTCTTTGACGATGACGTCGCTCAATCCGTGTTTCCACAGGTCGCATCAATGCCCCACAGATGGCTATGTGTAAAACAGCACCGGCCATCAGCATGAAGGTCCCTCGCCACGAGTACACGTTGATGAGGAACTCCACGGCCGGAGCAAAGACAAGCGCACCAACACCGGTTCCGGCAATAGATAGTCCAGTGGCAGTAGCTCTCCGATCATCGAAGTAGATAGTCACAACAACCAGTGCTGCTGTCATGCTGAGACTGAAGCCAATGCCCGACAAAATGCCGAAGGTAAAGACAAGTGCCAACAATGAATCACAAAAAGAGCCTGCGAGGCATCCAACAGAACTTATTAGAGCTCCAAGCATACAAGTTATGCGACAGCCGAGTTTGTTCAAGATAAACGACGAAATGGGAGTAACCAGAGCGGGAGTTCCATAAGAGAATGATCCAACCCACGAAGTGGCACTCATAGATTCGCCAAACTCCTCCAGTAGATCCTCTATGAAGACACCAAAAGATACTATTACACCCTCAGTAATCATATGAACTAATAATGCGGCAAAAACGACAACCCAGCCATAACCACCATCTGGTGGCTCTGGAAGAGATAACTAGCTCGCAAAAATAGGTAAGCAAAAGCTGCTCTCCGTAGTATCACCCGATTTGGAGGCAGAAAAGGGTGAAAAATTCGAACTGGATGTGCCTTCAGAGGGAGTAGAAAGACATGGCAGATAGCGCGCGAAATTTGAATAGGGCGGAGATTCGTAACCTGCAGCAGCTAAATAATTCTTACGAATGGCCGAATCTGAATGGCTACGGTGCAGGAATGTCGAGCGCCCAGGTTTACTTGAAAAAGGTGGATTGATGGGTCCATAAGTTAGGAAATCTAGTTGTGCCGAATCGGTTTTACTTATTCCAGCTTTAGCCTCTGGTAGAGACAGAGCAAACTGACCCAAATTGCGTCGCCGTGAACCAGTATTTCCATGGTCGCTGATATCACATCTGTCGTCGTATATTCCGTCTTCAGATGTAAAAGTAACCGCGCCACAAAAGCTTTTCTTTGCCATACCAAAATCGGGTCGTGGAATTGAGCCCAGACAACTTGCGAGCGTATGCAAATTTTAATCCAATGGATAAGCAGTTTCCAGTGCAAAGTGAAGCAACACAGGCAGCTACAGTCAATGATATGAGGCGTGCATTGGAAAATAATCAGAATGAAACTAAGCAAGCTACCACGACGATTGCGTAACGAAATCCCGGGCAACGCCCCACATTAACTCACACATCCAAGGTCCTTACCAGTTATTAAGGGATGTTTGATGAAGAAAAACAAGATACAAATATCGGTTTAACTTAAAACAGATGGTTTCCTTAGGTAATTTACACGGCGTTTTCCTTACATAAGCTTGTTATGATAGGATTAAGTAAACGCCAGCTATTTCGGTTATTCGCGCACATATTTAACCCATGAACTACCGCTGAGTAGGCACATTTTGCTTCTCGACTAGCAAAAACGTATTCACCGGCTGACCTACTACATTCGGGACTTTAAAATAATACAAGAATTATGTTGATGGGAGCTGAAAGTTGGAAGGCTGTGTAGCGGAACGACCTACTCAAGTTCAAGTTCAATTTGGACAGGAACGGTAGGAAAATTCCCATGTGTGTTCCTTCTTCAGTGCGTCGCTGAACCAGGACGGAGTTCGCTTGTGCGATTTGAAGCCGAGAGGAGCCAAATCCATACATATGAATCACATAACGGTGAACCAATCAATGCTCGCGCGGCCTGAACTAGCTGTCCCCACTGTACCGTCCACGTGATTATAGTAAAGGTTAAGAGAAGGGAAGCAACAAAAACAAAATAATGGTAATTGTAGTACAGGAGAGAATGTGTGGTTAAGACAATAATAGTAATAGATGTGAGAAGCCAAGGAAATGGATGTAGCAGTTAAGAAGCAAACGTAAAAGTCTGAAACTCCAACCCAATGGCGTCGAGTCCATGTTCAAACTCCTTCACCGTTGGTGCTAATACTACTTGCTGGGTAGTGCGTTCCATGAGTGGATAAACGAACGTCATCTCTAACGTGACCAGATCTAGGCTTATGCAACTTCAGAGGGTGACCACGATGAGATGGTATCTGAGCCGGCTGGAACAGTCCAGTTAGATCAGGCCCAATCTTGCTGGTCAATGTACGGTACGTAAGAAGCAGGTCTCCCCGAAGGCGTCTATAGTGCAGCGAAGACACCTGCAACCTCAGCAGCCTATCAGGATACGAGATATGCCTCAATCCTTGTACCATTTTGTACCAACCATCAGAACTCGTTCAAGTGTCAGCTGGGACGTCCGGGTCGTAGAGGCAATACGCTTTATGAGATTCTTTCTCTTCCTTTTAGATCGGTTGTCTGACCATTAATCAGGACATGTCATTTGTACATCAAAAAAGGACAAGTACTTCAAAACCGTATTTGTCATATTTTGCGTTCGCTTTTGCATTCTTGGTACTGCTGACGGGGTTTGTTTAAGTTCAAGTTCAAGGGGGACTGGAATGATTGGATAAGTCCGTAAGGGTTCTTTCTTGAGCGGGTCGTCGATCCAGGACTTGATAGGGGTGCTCGGACTTCTTGATGGGTCTGCAAGGGAAACACCCGAAGAAAAGCCTTGGTCCACCAACTTAATGCCCACGTTTCACGGGTTTCACGGGTTTCACGGGTTTGCGCAGAACGAGTAAGCGTAGCTTTTCGGTGGTTCTGCCTCGGGATCTTACGGCAAGGTCCTGATCTCGTCGGTAGGTAACAGATGTTGCGGGTCTCGACGCAGTAGTGGTGTTCAGCACAAGAATTCAGCGAGTTGACTGTGGGAACGTGGATACCTGAAACAAGAGAGTGGTGTAGGTAAATTCGGCAAAGTTGGATAGAAGCAAAAGGATGGAAGCGCCGCGTGTTAGCTTGGCAAGTGGCCAGATCTTAGCAACGTGGAAGACCAGCGAGGTAAGAGCCAAGCGTCTAGGCGCTGTTTGAAGGCCTCCGTATTGGGCGCTGAGACAACAGCTTCGGGGAGGGCGTTCCAAGCGAAGGCAGTACGCACACTGAAACTGTTTCTTCGGCACAGAAGGCGACTGCTACGAGTCATCAGTTTGAGTGAGTGCCCTCGAAGATGATCTGTACGGGCGCGGACCAGCAATCCTGCGTTTGGGTGTCTGTTATTAGTCAGGACGGAATAAGCTAAGATAAGGTCGCCACGAAGCCTGCGATATTTCAACGGGAAGAGGTTAAGGGCCGCCAGACGCTCCTCATACGAGAAGTGGGATAGTCCGTCCACTCTCTTAGTGGCTCTGCGCTGTACAGTTTCCAGCATGGCCTCGTCCTTCTTCAGGTACGGCGGCTGGACAAGTATGTTGTACTCCAGCAGCGGACGTACTAAAGTGCTATAGAGACGGACAAATGTCTCTCTAGGGAAAGACCCTAGTGAAGTTACGTGAAGTAAGTAAGAGAGGAAGCAAAATCGAAGGTAATAGAGTAAGGGAAATCAGTTAAATGTGGTGAATAATACCAGTAGGGAGGAAAAGTACAGAAAGCAGTATCGATTCTGAAGATGGGAATTATTCAGGAAGAGGGAAAGTCTCGTGTCGGCACCCCAGAACGTCTAGTTGACGCTCAAACGCCTCAACCGCAGCTTCCTTGACAGCCTTTCCTGGAAGCAGGTTCCAGCACTCGATGACTCAGTGCGATAACCGTGTCTCCGCTCTAACTCGATCGGACCGCGGTTGGTCCAGCTTCATACAATGCCCGCGGAGAACAGACAATCTGGGAGGACTAAGTAGTCAGGACAAATCAGGGCAGTTTAGGACTAGGTCCTCTCTAATCCTTCGATAGTGCATCGAGCGCATCCCCAAACTAAGTGGGGGTTGGCGTACGTTTGTCCTCGTAACCCCTGGACCAACCTAGTACAGACACGCACCCCCTTTCTATTGCCATTTTGTCCCGGACAGGGCATGGTGGTTAGGCCTGGACGCCATATTCTAGGTTGGGTCGCACAAACCCTCAGAACAGCTTCACAAACACATCAGCGGTAAGGGTCCCGAAAGAATGACGGATAAAACACAACAGCCGAAAACCTTTACTAATAGCCTTCTTCCAGCTGTCTCCAGAGTGTATTGTGGAACAGTGGACGACACCTAGTTCAACCTGCTGAGTCAAGTGAGGATGTTCACTCCCATCGAGCACATAACTTGTGGAGGAAGCAGGCGCTCCGATAAGTAGCACTGAAGACTTTGCCGGGTTTATGGGCAGCAACCACAAGACAGACCATTCCCAGAGTCTATCCAGAGCCCGTTGAATAACCACAGGACCTCCAGGGATATAAACAATATTCCAGAGCGTTAGGTCATCAGCAAATAAGAGCGATGGTACCTCAACCTCCTCCACCAGCGCCTTGCAGTACGCCGCTAATTACGGCTTGTCGAAGCGCATACTGCGTCCCACACGAATACACTGTTCCCGTCCACCTAGAAACGCTGACGCCCACCGGAGAGCGCGACCAGCTATTCCATACGACCTCAATTTCAGTGAGCGTCGCGAGTGGGGGACAGTGTCAAAGGCCACGGCGAAGTAAATGAACGTCACCTCCAACGCATGTCCACTGCCTACGTCTTCAGCCTAGCACTCACGAGCTGCCAGCAAGTTCATCTGACACGAAAATTCTTTGCAAAAACCATGTTGCTCGTCGCTAAGCAGGTTAAACTTATGTAAATGGTTTTTCACTATATTTCGTATTTATTTTTCAAGTAACGTAACGACCATGCTAGTCAAGCTGACAGGCCTGTACTTAGCCGGTAGGTCTTTGTCACTGCACTTGAATATCGGGCAGACAACAGCCTCCTTCCATTCGGTAGGCAAGACACAGCTTTTGGGCGACATCTGAAACACACAAGTCAGAGGTCCACTGAGTTCCACTGCCAATGCGTGCAACAGTTTTGGATGAACAGAACTGGCCCGGAAGCCTTAGTTGGGTTTACCTTCTTTAGCAACCAGAGAAGCTGGGAGTCAGTTACAGGAATTTCATCCAGACAACAGTCCTCAGAGACTCTTGAGGCTAATTCTTTGCATGGCGTATTTGTTTCGCCGACAAAGACGCTTGAGTACTGCTCACCAAGCGCGCATGCCTTATCATAGTCGCTATAGGCATGGGTCCCATCTCTTCGAAGCAATGGGGGTATCAGCGAGTTTGAACCACAGCGCCGTTTAACGTAAGCGAACAATTTCTTGGGAGTTTTCGCTGCAGTATCAGCTGAGCTTTTTTCATACTGAAGCCGGGCCAAGCTATGTAGCTTGCACTCATTTCAAACCAACCGATACTTGTAAAACGTGCTGTTCGACGGAACAATGAACAATGATTTATAACGGGTAAAATAGCAGGTGCTTGTCATGTCCCTTAGGGTACGTGGCGTGACAAAACAGATAGCGGAGGGATAGTGGAGTCGTCAGTTCGGGCACTTACAGATATAACTACACTGTCGCATAAAGGGAGTTTGAAATGAGGATGTACGCACACAAAGCAACAGGGGAGTGGTTGTTGTTCATACCATAGGCGAGAAAAATAAAAAGATAGCACGGACAACGCTTACTCGTGTGCAATTACCTTGGGTCGACAGGATAAAGAAATTCAGTTTCTATAGTAGTAGCGTTTGTCAAATTTCGTGCAAGGCGTTTGGAGTGACTCATTCTCGAGTAGGGTTATGGAACTATCCCCTGTCTGTTGTGTATTAGTGCTAGCATCTTGTGGTCAGGAGCTATAGCACGTAGTGTAAGTGCGACAGGGTATCGTCAGGGCGCTTTTTGAAAAGAGATAGTGTGGGTGTATTAATTATATGTTTCGGGAGGGCGTTTTAAGACTGTGCCACTCGAAGGGAGAAATAGTTGCGCAGACATTCCAGGCAGCTGTACAGCGTGCCTAAGTTAAACTGGTGACCTCTTAGCGAGGAGTTTTGACTGAGTATTAGAAGGGAATGGCATGGGTGGTTGGGGTCTCTCAGGATTAGGTACACCATTATGAGAGCTCCCCTTAGACGCCGAAAACGTCCACTGTATATTTTGAGGGTCTTCAGTCTGAGTGGGTATGGGAAGCTGGTCAAACCTCTGACGATCTGCATTGCCCTACGTTGTGCAGTATCGACCGCGGTTTGCTGGTGCTTGAGCCAGGGTTGCCACGCTTGGATAGCGTATTCCGCGTGCGGCCTCACGTACGCACTAAGCATTTTTGGAAAGATCGAAGTGTCAAAATTCCCGAAGGCT